TATCATACACTCTGTATATATCAATAAACATAAACCAGATCCATTAGTACGAAATATGTTTAATGCAGTATTAACACTGACTCGTAAATCATTAACAAAAAAACGGATTAAAGTGTTGCGGCGAAGAGGAGTGACGCGGCTAAAGACCAGAAGATAAATAATCATTGGAAGCCGTTCTCCCGCTGAAATATGGTCGGTGTTAATTCTGAAAAATTTGCCTCTCGATCGGGGCAAGTACGGATTACGATTTTTTTCTATATTTCTTTTTATAGTGTCGCTAATAAATTTCCGCTAGCGCGCAATCCAAGATAAAATTGAGGCAAAAAAAAAATAGAAAACTTGCGAGCAATTATTTTCCAACTGACTTTAGCAAATAATTAAGAAGAAATAGCAATAAAACAGTAAGTCCGTAAAAAAACCATTCAATCGATATTTAATACAGTCGAGGAAGGAAGTATAAAGCAGATGAGACGAGTTTATTTTAGATACAATAATTTGATCATTATTTGTGTTTGCTTTCAATCTTTTCGATACTGATAGATTTTTAGGTATTTAACGTTTAATATAATTATCGTTTAACCACAATTGATTTATTATTAAGACATAATAAATTGCAATAAAAAAAAGCATTAACTATAAATTTCTTTATTGGAAACGTAGAGAAATAGAAATGTTTCGAATTACAGTTTCAAGAAATTGTTAAAAGTTAATAACATGGGTAGGGTTTACGCGGTCCCGTAAATAAACAAAGATCACTATTGACAGGTCTTTGGGACCTAAAAGCGTGTAAAAGGATAAAGAGCTATCGACCCGACACGCTGTTTGTTTGTCCTCTAAATCCTGTCCATCGAAGCCTCCGGCAGACAGGGTTTCCTCTCGCATTATTTTCTTGTTTCTTTTTTATATTTGTTTAAAAAAAAATAATCGATTATCAATTTTGTATAGCTCCGCAGATTGCGTTTTTCCATAAGAGAAATTAAACAAGAAAAATAAAAAAACTGGTATCCAATTCTAGAAAATTTCCATATAGATCGAATTATAAGTTTTCAGAGTTTGTGAGAATGTGTGGTACTACATTCAGGAAGTGTCTGGAAGCACTGGCATTATATATAATCGAAATGTTTATTTGTTAATCAGTCAGTTGATTTGTGATTCATGTCCGTACATTTGGAGATCCGACTGCGTGTGAATTAAAATGGAAAGGCGATGCAAAATAAAACAGTACCAGCTGTGAGGGTGTGATTCGACTTGGGATTTATCCAATCTATGCAAAACGCGTAGGGCCAAAAATAATGGGGAAACATAAAAATAAAATAGAAGGAAAAGCCATTCGGTTGGGTGTAAATGTTATGAGAGTTCGTATATCCGGTAACAGCACGTAACGAGCGATTCATCATCTTGTCTCCTTTCGAAAACGTGGAAATAATATGTTAATATAGATAATAGTTTTAGATAGAGCCTTCGAATCAACTGCTTATCGTCGCCGCTGCATGATTGATGGCGGGGCGCCCGCGGTTTTCCTCTCTTTTCGCCGTTCGCGATTTCCCGCGACACGCATTTTCCACGTTCACTATTTGGTTAACAAATCCGTCAGTTCCATTCACGTGTATATTTATGCATTATTATTTTTTTTCATTTATGTGACTTTTCTGCTTATTTACTTTTACAACTTAATAAAACTCTGTTTAACAACATCGCAATATTACTTTATTTATATTCGTTCTTTCAAGAATTCACCATCAAATTTCATGATACCTATCCAAATCTTTACTACGCTCACTTCTGTTAACCTTCTGTTCTTTCTATCGTATTTATTATCAAGTAAAGTTATTTAATGCATTAATAATGAACGAAGAAGTCACATTAATTAACCAACTCAATGCTTTATAGTTATCATATATAATTAGTGTACATCTTTATATATAGGAAAGTTACCAGATTTGCCTAAGTTGGACCACTATTATAAATGACACCTGTATTTGAATAGTGACCAATATAGATTGAAATGTGAAGTAGACTGATGATATAATAGATATAATTCTAATAATATTATTGAAAATTAAGTGATTTATTAAGATTGAGATTTATATACATTATAATTATATTGAGAAGAATGAAGTAGGATATGAAAACTGGATTTTATCCTGCACTAATTCGGTGACATTCATCGATTCTTCTGAACGAAACACAAACTAGTTGGTTTGTATAGACAGGGATTGATTATGATGAATGCGATGAAGTTTACATGGCGAAAGGGTACGCAAAATAGGGAACAGACGACATAGAAGCCGAAACAAAAACAATGCTGTTTGGTTTTGGAGAGGTCCAAATTGCTGAATTCAGTTATAACTAAAGTTTAAATTTGATTTGATTTAAAAAAAATGTATAGATTAAGAAGAAAACATTGAAACGCAATTTAAAGATGAAATTAGTATATATAGCCAACTTACGTGTTATTATAATATCAATTTACAATAATTCCTTGTTATTAATCTTAATATAAATTACTTTAATCAGGTTTACATGCGATATTAACGATACGATATGGTTCCATTTGCGAGCCAAACATCGATTCAACAACTTGTGCCAAGAAACCCAGCCATACATGTAGTTAAAATACAATTTAAAAAAAAAACACTAAAACGCTACAATGATTCTTAAATATAACAAAATATGATATTTTTTCAAAATTATTATAGAAGTGCTAAAAATAAACAAAAATTGATATTGATATTTTTCAGAGGAAGAAGTATTTGGAACTGATACTAATCCATTTAGTCAACTTATTGCAATTTAGATTGTATTCAATTATCATTATTTATAGTGGTTTTCTCGTCAATATGATAAAAAAATTGATGATTTTGTTTAAATTGAGGATGATATAGACATATTATAAAGTATTATAAGAAAGAAAAGTGATTAAAAAGGTTTTCGTTATAACATTTGAGAACTTGTTAGATCAGATATTTATTATACATAATTTCATTAATTTCTTGTGTACTAATTTTACAATATCTTAACATAAAATCTAAGGTGCTATTGACCTTGTCTCAAATTATGTATGTACTTGTATAATTTTTGCAATAAATATTGTTATTATTATGAAAAGTAACAAAAACCTTTATTTTGTATTATTATTATGTAGAATATTTGACAAATACAGTTGTCGTAAAGATGGCTTCAATGTGAAAAAGGGATAGAAATCTATTAGAATCATAGCATTTTTGTGGGTGAGATTTGTGTGTGTACTGTGTATGAGAGGGTGGAATGGTGCGCGAACCCGACTACTGAAAAGTTTATATTCGAAAAGTTTCCAATATAAAAATACACGGTGAAGTAAGTACGTCTACGTGATACAGTAAACATGCATTTTGTTATTTATTTTCACTGTTTTTTTTTTCCGCGTTTGTGTGCAGATATATTCGAATGTGCGACTCCAAATGGATATAGCACATACATATAAACATACATGGGAGTCGCAGTCGCCGTTGCGTCCATATCAATACCAATATACATGTACGAACACGTGGGAACTCGTAACTATATAGGAGATATATGGATGTAGGTATAGAGCATTGTGTATAAAATAGCACCTGTTAATACCCCATTTTGTTTTTTTGGTACACTTATACAGTAGTATCGCTATGCAACGTTCTATCGATTTGACTCCATGTAACTCTATTACTAAAATCTAACTCGTTCCGTTGTCTCCCTTGCACTCATAGTCTGCCCACATTCATCTGTTCGTTTTCACACATTGTTCGCCCCATAAATTTCAACTTCGCCAGAAACAAACAGCATATAACAAAAAAAAAACAAAAAGGAACAACGGAAAGGAAGAAGTAAAAGCAGATCGTATTAAATCATTTCACATGACAAATTAACAAATCGCCACTCAGCGTGCGCAACATTAATTTATGAAACCTTAACAGAAAGGAATTGTCTTCTTAACTTTGATATCCATTTCACTCATCTATTATACGAAGTTACTTTGAGATTTAGATACTATAAATTACATGTTTTTCAAATTAACATATTTTTTTAATAATAAAACAATCATTTCTTTCAATTTAATGTAATAATGTATTTTTGTATATTATTTCTACATTAACCGTTGATTAGTTCACAAAATATTTCTCAGGTATTCAAAATCTAAGTAGACTAAATGCTTTTAGTAATGTGTCAATTACAGATTATGTGTACTTATGGTTGCATACATTATTTTATATAATTAATTAAACGATAATCGATAGCATCTATAGCAGATACCATTTGTCTGCACGAGAATGTTGATAATTTGTGATCTATTTCACATTTAGAATGTTACTTTTATGGTAAAAGAAAAGATGTTAGTTTACAGGATTCATAATTTTAAATTTGTTTGTCCGAAAGATTGGTGACTGCTGATTTGCACTTTTTAATTAATTAAACTGTCAAGTAAAAGCTAATAAATTCATGTAATTTGTATATGAAATGGAGACCATTTTTTTATATAAGTCAGGATGGCCGAGTGGTCTAAGGCGCTGCGTTCAGGTCGCAGTCCACTTCTGTGGGCGTGGGTTCGAATCCCACTTCTGACAAATACTTTTTGTTTATTCGACTTCACTAGATATTTAGTAAATCATCAATGGATTATAAATAAGAAAAAGTATCACTTGGAAACTTATGTTTTTAACGAATATTGATTGATAAATATTATATTTAGAATATTCTATATATTTAGTTACTCTGAATGTTTATTATGATAGGCATTGTTTCAATTTGATGTTTACATACGCATTTGTAAAATTGTTTATTTTTCGAATTTCCCGCTGAACAGAAAATGTTTTTTAAAACTATATATGCATATTCATTCGAATATAGTAAAATTGGGTTTGTTGATAAAATACTGCTATTAAAAAGCAAAATAAAACCGTATAAAAATTGTGGTATGGTTTTTAAAAAAATACACTACAATTTCAATCTCGTGCTTTTTGTTTGGTCAAAAATAATAGCGCAGCACGTTCGTATCGTTAGAATTGAAATAGATTTCGCTATTTGTAAAGAGAATAAAGTGGGAATCGTATGTATATATAGTGAGAATAAGGATGAATATAAACTGATATATTGCAAAACCGTTTATTTTATTTATCGTACATGACTAATTCATGTAATAATTGCATATTCGCAGTTTGAATCAGCAACACTAAGGTAAATTGAATTTCGTTGATCCTGTATTCATTCCCCCCAGACGAGAGATAATAATAGTAAGCGCGTTATTACTATTGCGAGTATTAAGCACAAAATGACACAGATGGATGAAACATTGGCGATATTGGACCACAGTTTACTACAGGAGTTGGAATGTCCGGTTTGCACAGAGATTATGCATCCACCTATAAAGCAGTGCATAACGGGGCACAGTTTCTGCTCTCTGTGTTACATGAAATTGAGAAAGTGCCCTACGTGCAGACAGCAGCTGTCCACGACGGCGAGGAGCTACGCTCTGGAGAGGCTACACTCCAAATTGGTTTTCCGCTGCATGAATCGCGACGAGGGTTGCGATATAATAGACTACGGTAAAAACATATTGGAACATCAGCAGATCTGTTGTTACGGTGCGAAGAGGTGTCCCCTGCAGGTGATAAACGATTGTCAATGGACGGGCCACACCAGAGACATGGTGGATCACTGCAAAGCGGAGCATCCGAACAACATCTTCATCACCAAACGACAAAGATTAACATGTTCGAATTTCTCGAAGTGTCATGCAGCCACGACGAGTTACTTCTACATCATCTTCTACGCACACAACGAGTTCTTCAAGTGCGCCTGGCAGGTGAACTTCGACACCGGTTTTATGCGTTGGTGCGTCTTCAAGATGAACCACAGCAAGAAGCAAAACTATCATTTTCAAATCGAAATCGAGAACCAGAACCAAGATGGCGATAGGCTCGTCGTGAACGGTAAATGTCCAGAACTGAAAACGGAGCAGCAAGACGTCGTCTTCAACAACAAGCAGTTCTTGATCACGCACTACGACATGATCAAGGGATTCTGTAAAAACACCGACCTAATCTACATCGTGAACATAATAAAAGACGAGGATTTATAATTCTGTGACACCAAACCACACACACAAAAAAAAGGACAAAAACTGTAAAAAAAAAAATTATGATCGTAACGATGTGTAAATAGACTGTGCTGAATGTGTTCGTTTCTTAAAACTGACATAATTAAGTATATAATTGCAATTTGTGTGCAATTTTCTTTCTTTTAAAATGTATAAAAAAAAATTGTTTGATTTTAAATTGTATTTCGCTCCGTAGAACATTCCAGTTAGTAATTATTCCAATTTTTTTTTTGATATACGTTAAGAACAATAAAATTGTTTATTTCTGGATGGATCGAATATCTTATCATGTTGTTGTTTCTTTATTATTATTGTAATAATAATAATTTTCAAAACATTTATAACAGTCATCATTTGAACATTTAAGCCACGACAATTGAAACATATTTTTAAATAATTTATTAAATATACCTTGAAATATATATATATGCAATGCAGACGGCTGAAAACTTATGCGAGGCTATAGAATAAAAAATACAATTTTTCTGCTTCTCACTTCATCAAGCTTTAAATCATATTTTTTATTTATACGTCTATAGCCGATTAGTTTTCGGCCAGTCTGTGTGTTTGTGTATGCGCGCGCGATGTTAATTACGAGGCACATCTTTTCGAACGAAATTGAGGATTAAACAATTTGAATACATCCTTAATCCTCAATCCCCTTACGAAACAAACTTTTGATTAACATCGCTAATTAATTTTTGGCTTAAATCTTTAAATTGTTCAAAGGTCGAAATTAGTGTAATCTTATGTACAGAATATTAAATATAGTAACAATATATTTTAAAATTCCTTTTAATTATATATTTTTTTGTTTATTTATCCTAACATATCCATACATTTTAAATTGAAAATATTAACTAAATAATTTAGGTAACTCTTACTGACATTAGGTTTTATACATGGATATAAAATTTCTGCAAAGATAAAACACTAAATGTTTTTACATACTTTTTTACTTCAATACATGGATTTTTAATACGTCTTTCTTTATCCATAACCTCGGTTTGTGTGTGTATCTAGTCTGCATGTTTTATACTTAATTTATTACTAATTAGATCTAATGAATGCATCTTGAATCCAACCGTAAGATGATGATATATAAATAAGGAGAAAAGGAGATAAATATTTATCATATTTTGTGTTTTCTGCATCGGAACAAAATTAATTGGGTGCGCCGTTATTTTTGCCCCCGGAAAGCCATTTAAATATCTCGGCCGCCGCAGTCGCCGCCTTCTCGTCCCACTTAAATGGCTTTTCTTCCGCACCAGTTTTAATTTCTTTTGCCAAGATATCTGGCGAATAAATCAGAAACTTTGAAATAATTCCGCGAGTCGCGATAAAATTTTATCACACTATTATATATATACATAAAAAACCGTGGCCAAGGTTCATCCGTCTCTGAAGACAGTGGAGCAAAAACTTATTACCGTCAAATTCAATAACTTGTAATTTTTTTTTGAATCTTGAGACACAATATAGAAAATCTTGATCTCAATTATAAGAGAAATTAAGAAAGCATTTAGAAGATGGACTTTTTAATAATCTTCTTCTTAATGTATTAATTTAATGTATTAATTTAAAAACTGAAATCTATGTTTCTTTTTTTCATGTATCTTGAAAGGAAATTTGAATGGAAATGGATTGACAATTTCTTCACAGATGACTCGCTTCGATTTATGGGATTCAATTTAAAAGTGGACGCAGGTGTCCCGTCCAAGTGTCACGCGTTTCGTCGAAATGCTAAAAGCGATTTTTTTTATCCTTTTCATCTTCTACATTCAATTCTATGCAGGTACTAGGATCATACCATTAATCCGTAATAATTCCGAAACAATATCCTCGTGGGATTATTCACCGCAATTTGTGCCAAACGCGTTTTCGCTTAAAGATTTCCATGCGATATTCTGGACATCCTCCAAAAACGCCGAAGGCATTGAAATACCGAAATTGCTACTAAATTAAATAACATAGTTATTTATCCATTGCTACGTTGTATCGTTGTATCTACATTAAATCACTCTTTATTAAGCCTATCTTTGTCATATCTAGTACTAAAATAATCCATGTATTAAGATTATAATATTAATTGGAATTTCTTTGAATGTGTATAATGAATAACGTTTATCATTAATTGATTTTTAAAAGACTTGTATAGGCAATGGAGTTTTGTATAAAATTATATGAACGATCAGTCTGAATATCTGTCTAAAGCAGTGATTCCCAAAGTGGTCTATATAGACCCCCAAGGGTCTACGTCAGCGAAAAAAAAATTTGGGGGTCCATGAAATGAAAATGGGGGTCCACGATAGTAGATCTCAACATACACTGATAGTACCTATTTACTTACATTATACTATCTTATAATATAAAGATATATACATTATTTATAAAAGTACCTATGAAGTTAAAAAATTTATAAAATTCTGTAAGTTTTGATGTAGGCATTTGCTTTGTAGTCGCAATACATTTTGAACTTGTAAAAAGGGGGTTCAGCGCTGTTACCAAACTTCTAACGAAAAAAAGAAACAGACTGGACATTATTAGCTGAGGAGATTTAAGACTAAACCTTACAAAATTGACGCCAAATGTTGATAATTTATTACTAAAACATCAGGTTCATCCTTCTCACTAAAAACATTTACTTATTGCTTAGTTTATTTTATGTTACGTATATTTTATATAACAGATACAAAATTTTATTTTGAGTAGTTTTAATTTAAATTCAATTAATAAATGTATGAAATTGAACATGTGTTTTTACTTTAAGTTTTTAACACTAATCTTCACTACAGTTAGAAATTTACAAAAAATCAATATCAGGTAAGTAGGAGGTCTACCCAAAACCGAAAAACATGGCAAGGGGTCTACGACACAAAAAAAGTTTGGGAACCTCTGGTCTAAAGTAACAGCAAAGATTTCACTCTCAAATATTAAAACTAACTCGTCGCGAGAAACTGATGAAAATTTGTGACAACGAACTAATCAAAACGTTACGTTCTTTATTTCATCATTCTGATGCGCCTGCAAAGACAAATTTATTTCAAGTCCTTCTATCCTGAGGACAATTTATTTCCCGTCACAGCGAGCAACTTAATATTTCGTTTCTGAATGCCTGAATTATAGATGAACATAGAAATTGGCACTGTTAAAGATTTATAAGGTAAAATGCCACTTCCCACGCATCTCTCACGACTACATCTATCCCCCCCCCACAAAAAGGTTTTTGTTATTTCCTACCCATCCGCCGTTCGCCCAAACACAAAGGGAACAAATTTGTTCGATGATTATCTATTTCTCGGTGGTTATACTCCTTCTTTTTTTTTATTACATAATTTAAACGGGAGGCAGTATTCTATTGGTTCCGAGGCATCCGTAGTTTTTTTTTTTGTTCGTTGGCTCTTCGGATGAAAAGAATGATTGATAGCGCTCCTTTTCAGGCTTATTGACGGCGTCCGTGCGCCACCCTTCGAACTCCCCTCGACGATTCAAAAGAAGATATTCGCGTTACAGCTCTAACTTGATCGGTAATCTCGTTAAGGCCATCAGCGAAACGCGGATCACCAAATCCCATCGATATACTCTTTATACTCGCTCCATACTTTTCCATCCAGAAACATAATCTTGATAAATCGCATTTTTAGTCTTATTTTAATTTACACCCTATCGCATTTTATCACGCCTCATTCCATTTTCAAATAGCTTTTATTCAGTTCGGTTCAAGTGGTGGAAGATGAAATATTGCGTTGTCCGATCAATGATGCATTGTTGCCTCGTCAATGATTTACTTCATATTTGATCAAATATTGAATTTTAGAGAAATATTTCAATTTTATTTATATACATAACATTGATACATTTCTATGATTAATAATCTTTATGGGTTTTAATCGAGATTGCTTGGATAAATTTGTTTTCTGCCAATTCCTGTTGACATTTCATTTTGAATCCTGTTGACGTTTGTGAAACGACGCAGCAGAAAAGAATATTTACTAAAATATATAAATGAAGAATATATAAGACTTTTGGCGTTATATGTATCAGTGAAAGTGGAAAAATATCTAGTAAATCTAAATGAAGGTAAGCAATTCCCATTAAATTCATTCCTATTGATAATAATAGCAATATTTAAATTTAAAAAAAAATAACAAACAACAACTGCTTTTGGTTCATTGCACACTTGATTGTTACGTCACTGCATATATACCCGTTTAAGATTGGTGTCCTGACCACAGCTGAAACATTCATGTATATAATACAATCAATATGTTCAAGCCTGTGCACATAATAGCGTATGGCTTCAATAGATATATTAATCATCATAGTTTTAGAAGAAATTCAAATGTTCATGTATTTTAAATAATAATTTAGATAAGAAGTAGATGGGTCTATATCAGCGGTCGGGGAACTTTTTTTAACCATTACCCCAAAATATTATTGCGTAAGTCGATATTACCCCCCCCCATTCTGGAAAGAAAACAATCAATGTAAATTTTAAATAAATATTATTTATTGAATTAATTTACATTTACATACTTATAAAAAAAAGTTACATGAAAATAGTAACAAATAGTAAAAGACAAACAAAATAAAATTCTTAGA